TGCAGGGTCAAGGGAGTTGTTTAAGTGTACAGTCAAAGATAAATTAGCCGAATAAGAAAACCACACACAACACAAAAGAGTATAAAATTCCCTCGCTCCTAAAACACACAACGAATAATATAATTGAATTGTTCACGGGAGTACTTTTGATGATGATGTTCCAGTAAATGAATCAATGGGTCACTCATCAGCGTATATCTCCGCGTGTAAATCGGTGCGCGGACATTTCAACCACGAACGTTGTATCACCTACAAGTGTAACACCAACAAAAATGGAATAATTATAATAATAATACAATTATTTATTCAAAGTTATAATATTAAAAACAGATTACAGAATATGAGAAAATCAAATTAGTTTTTCAATCTGTCAAGTTTCATGGACTTCCCTTAACCAATTCACAAAAAAACCATAGCAATATTAATTTGATACACTGGTGCTGCCCCCCGCTGTTGCTTTTCGGGGTTGCTATCATGGTTTTGAAGAAACTTTAGCCATTCGGAATAGATAGCGAACGTGCCAGAATGGATATTAAGTAAAATACTCCGTATTCTTCATATAAAGCAAAAATGTATAGCAAAGCCGCTACTGAAACGTCGCAACCGGAATCGCTGCGGCGCGTTCTACGCCTGGAGCATTTCTATGCGTGCCACGCGGATGCTTACCGAGAACGCTCTAAGCTGAGTGACTTTTGTGTGTGGTACGTTCGTGAGAAACTCAATGCAGTCACTTCAACGGCACTCTGACAATTTTATCTGGCGGGTGATGAAATAACTTCTGTTTGAGAATTGATGATAAATAAAATAAAATACTGCATACTTCGAATATATGTTGTTATTTTGTTGGAGAGCGAGTGTGAGTGATGTATGGTAGATGTAATTGTGCATGGTGGATGTTTGCTCGATGTGATAAAATAAATAACACATTGTCATTAAGGCAATATCACGATTTGTTGTACTCGACCCGCGACCATGACCACCACCCCTTGGGTAGGTAACAAATAGAGATATTTCCCTCACAAATATGTGTTATTATAATAATATTACGAAGATACTTCAAAGTACGCACGAAGACATGAGTACAGCGGCAGTATCGACGGACGCGCAGCGACAGCGTACTGCATACTTTGCATACTTTGAGGTTTTTTTTCTCAGTTTGTCATATGAGATTGTTAAAACAAATTTATGCAGACTAAGGGGCCAGTGACCGCGAAACTGTTCTTTGTGGAATTTTCTTCAAGTTTTCAAATTCACTGGTATTGAGAACGCTACAACATAATGGACCCTCGCTAAGTCGCGGGTGTCGGGATCCAAACAAAAACCACGAATTATGGAGGGGCCCCGTAAACATATAAAAAGCACATATACACCCATGGGTTTATTCATAGAGTATCTTCTTTATTAAAACACATCACGATCACAATTAATAAATACACAAGTTAATTGAAAAGTTAGAAAAATATTTACAAATTGTATGTTGCAGCAACAATCAACCTCCCGCCAACCTAAACTCAACTCAAACACACTTGGTACTCCATATTTGTCGTGATCTTTCATCCATTGTGGGTTTTTTATTTTTTTGAATATTATTATCAAACTTGAGTACCATACGTAATTGAGAAACAGATATTTGCGAAACACAAAACTAGAATTGAATATAATTATATAATAATAATAAGTGAATGAGTTGCGTTTCGCTAAACATCGGTGTGAGGTTGAAAGGTAATATAATTAAATCAACCATCTGAAATCAGTTATGTTTGAATAAAACGAAATTGGTAATAGTAATAGTAAAACAAAAAAATGACACACATTCGTCATTTTGAATCGAACCGTGGATATGGAAATCTGAATATGATCGGTAAAAGAACGTCCATGATTCAAGAGGTAAAATCATAGGTTGCTGTTTTTCAAACAACTGACTTCGTTCAAACGGGAAATAAAATTATGCAAATATGTTTTGTGAAGCATGTATTTGATATTGCGGAAATTGTTAGAGGATCACTGATTTGTCCTTTCACCATACTGTCCATACAAATGTAGTTCTAATTTTGTATTATGTACCTGTAAACCGTCATTCATATTGACTAAAATCAGATACAATTATAAACATATTGCTTGAAAAAAGGGTATATGTGGATATAGGTATACCGGTATGTTATAATTGAATTTAAAAATAAATTTAAGAAAAAATAACAAAGTGAAGCCACAAATAATGGTTTTACAATTCCAAATTGTGTTAATATTACACAAATTAAATGTATTGGCTTTATAATTAATAACCATTGGTGGATTTAGAGGGGGGCGAGGGGGCCGCGGCCCCCTATTTTTAACAAGCAACAGGGCTTCGCGCCATCGGCGCTCGCGAACTTGGCCTTCGGCCAACCTATCGGCCTCCGATTCCAGAATTCTAGATCCGCTCCTGATAACACGCACATGCACCCAGCAAACACATGTACCAAACAAACAATACACAAATCGAATAATTACAATTTATATGCATTTATGGTTACTAGTAGCAACGCAAACACGGTTCTTTGATACTCGAAGACGCATACTAGTAATCAATCGATGGCGATCAATCCATTATTATTCGCTGAAATATGTGTTTTTTGTTATTTGCCAAACAACTTCAAAGGTGTTTCTAAGAAAAGGTCAGCAATGCCTACACAATGCCTTGCTTGTATGATTTGTATTCCCCGCTGTGTGAAAACCGTGAAATACGAATGAACGTTTTAGAAATTTTAGAAAAGTATTGACTATACAAATTGACTTTACACTTTGTAGGTAGATACATCGCACTGTCAATCTACATTGTGGCGATCACGTGTCTTGTGAGTGCAGCTGTAGTCTTCTTCATGAAACAGAATGTCGTGTTCACGTACACCTTTCTTGGTTCCGCTATCTTAGTCTCCAACACTAGCGTCTTATGTCTGATGTTTGTCCCAAAGGTACGTACATTGAAATATATGCGCATGTCTAGAAGATACACCACGTAGTGTCCATGGGGTGCGAGTTAGAAATAAAATCATATCCAAAACAAATGACTGGTAAACAACCCACAAAGTCGATCCAACCAACAACTGACATGCACAGCCAATTCAATACACCGTGAGAGAAGGGACCTCAATACATACAGTCATCATGTCAGAATATACGTGCCATTATATGCAATCGGATAATAAGTTTCATTTAATTCACATGTCACATGTACAATATACAGTGGTTTCCTAGGATCAACCACGCGCTTTTATGACACGAATGAAAATGCTTTGTATGTCCAATTATAATAAAGCCAGTAATTTGATCTCTGTCGCTTCCGTAGGATGCGAAGGTAACTCTAATTTGCCACATGATGAACAGGATGTGATAACTCGTTTCAAAACACTTGACATCACTTCATGTGTACTATGGGATCCACATATCTTTCTCTCATTGGTTATACATTGCACGTGCCATTTGTTTTGTTCTGTTCTCGTTGTCAGTCGTTTAGTATTCAGATTTACGGGTGACTATGTCATTCCAAAGTGTCTAACCCTCTATCGTATACTCATATCTGAAATTCTAAGTTAATAATACATAGATGATATGGACGAGGGACATATGATCCGTAATTTACAATCTGACTGTTATTTAAGTCACTGTAGAACATTTCAACTATACGTAAACACATATTCCAAATAAAACATACCAAAAATGCATTTCCCCCGTATCATGATATCAAGCCTAAAACACACACTTTGTGTGGATAAAACATGCTGAAGGATGTAGCAGATTTGTGTTTTGCATGTGGTAATCAAAACTCTTTATATTTTATAGAAATCTAATTATTCTATGGAAATTTCAGAACTCTATAATGAATGAAACAGGATCAAAACATGGTCAAAATTAACAATTGTTGTGATGACTTAATTTACACATTCCTATGTTTTTTTTTTAAATTACAAAGCCAACTATGAAATATGTTTAGAACGTCTTTTGATGCTTACATATCATCTACATTTTACTGGACGTCCATGAAGTCATAGAATATTTCATGAACATTTAAAACAATATTGCAGCAGCTCCCCTATTTATCTATTCATAGACAAATTTGTCTATATCTTTGTTTTGATTTTGAAATGACCAATCAAATGAGTACATCTCAGTAAGAACTCACCAGATTCTTTCACTTTCAGATGGTAGATGTAATACATGTGAACATAAGGGTCGTTGCGATTTTTATTAAATTAACGCAAAGATTACACTACCTGAATGTAAAAACAAATTTATTCGCAGTCCTAATTTGAATCGTCAATGAAGGGTGTATTTGCTTAGAAGTCACATAACCACATCGATTGTTAATTAGTGTGAATTATGAGCTACCATAAAATATATAATTTGATATAACACTTTCTATAAAAATAATTAGTGTGAATTTTACTTCCCGAAAACCCCACTACTTCCATAATTGTACAATTATAGGAAGTACATTGCAAATCTATGCAATAATAGTAGAATTAAATTAGTTGTCAGTAAAAAACCACCTTTTGAATCGCTACAGTCGTCGGGTGTTCGACATGAGACCCATAGCGACGTAAACAACGCATGTAAAATGCATTTGTATGTTTACAAGAAATTCGAACACGAGCTGCGTGACGACTGGAGCGCTTTATATTTATAAATGTTCACAATTTCATTTTTCTAATAGATAAAATTATTGTACCTCACCGATAATACGAAATCACAACGGTCTGGAATGTCGATGAAGTTATCTGCGTTCGGAAAATTTGGACAAAACGATGACGATATTACAAAATTAAAATCACAGTTGAACAAGGTGAGTTCGAGGCATAGTAATATCACAAAATGTATACAAATCTTTTCTATTTTATTCCAATCAATGTACAATGTTAAAGTATCCCATCAGCATCTAGGTAAATTGTAAGATTCGTTTTAATGTCCAATGTGCAAAACCGATACATTTTATTATAAAGCTAACCTAATCGGCCTCGTTTGCAAATGTCTCCGCGATCTCGTTCAAAGCGAGAAATACACCTAACTTGTTTTTTTTTTCTGGCCAAATAATGTCCAATTCTCAACCGTCATAGCGTTACTGTTCCAAATACAGTGGTTATACAGTTCAGCGGAAAGCTGACGCGATGACGTCAGAGAACGTAACACTGAGAGGCAAAAACAAGTCACGTAGCTCTCTCGATCTTAACGAGACCTCAGCGGCCATTTCCGAATAAGGTCACGCAAATAATCAAAGACAGCGAATTGCGAAAATGTTTACAACCCAAAAAAATCGATGACATTTGTTTTTGCTGTTTTTGTTCACAATTTGTGGGGAAAATGTATAACGTAAATTTGTGTAACTATTTTTATACAACATTCTCCATCCTTTATTATTACAGAAATACGAACAATTGAGCCAGCTTCGACAAATACTACGCGAATATGCATCCTGTGACACACACGCTAGGTCGCTTAAACGTGAATTGAAATCTGATCAGGGTCACAAAGCTTAGGAATGTTACGTGGTACTTGCTGTATTTTTAAAATGAGTATATTGATAGTGTTTTGTATTAATAGACAAACATACATGCACTATATTACGAATAGTTACTAGTGTACATTCTCTCTAATGTCATACATTATATATTTAGTTCAGATCCATTTTTTTAATTATTACCCTGTTGTTATATTTTGAAGTGGATGATGAGATGCGACACAAACATTTGTTTAATGCTTTTAGTATTATATGATATGGTTAGAACACGTCATGTCAATATTAGTTATTGAGTTACTTAAAAAAAATTAACGACCCTATAAAGGCTTAAGACATGAATATAAAAATAATATATATATATATATATATAATGTAAGATTGTATAGCGCATCTGTTTTAAGTCAGTATACAAATACTTATTTTTCAATATAGATATATGTATGTAGTCTGGGAAGCGGGCTAGAGATGGAATGGACATAATTATTAAATAATGTTTTTTTTTTACAAAAAACAAGAAATAATTGGTACTATCACGAATACATAAATCTAAGCACAAATCATGTCTATTGGGTAATTATTTGTATGCAGCCATTCACTCTCAAACGAAGAAGAAGACAAATATTTATTGGTGAATAAGCGCTACAAGTACATGCGATATATTAGCATTTTAGAAGTAATTCCCTGCATGACAGATGTTTCACAAAGTGTTTCTTTAATTAAAAATGAGATATATTGTCCTAAAAATGTTAGCTAAAACAAAATGTACCACTTTACAAAAAGAAGATGGGTGTGTGAATAATCAGTAATGTATATATATATATTTATCAAGGTCGGTAATGTACATCTGATGTGTTTTCTGAGCATTCTTCAGCTTATGTATGTCTAGAGGGCGCTGTTACCGGATAAGAAGATCAAGCACAAGACGTTGGGACATTTCATAATAACACGAATTTGTTTATCATCAAATAACGGTTGATTTGTCTGACATGTGGCAGGTTTGTAAGATTATACGTGACCCATTTTTAAATTAATTTAACGAATGGTTTGTTGACGTCTTAGTTTCTGGTTCAGTTTAGATAATCTTGAGGCATATGAAGTAAACATTTATGTAATCAACATGTGAGAAGTAAAGTGACTCTCTTAAGCTCAGTTCCCGTAATAACAGTCATGAAAGTGGATTCTATTTGTATTGACTTGAAGTATGACGTCAATGTTATGTCAATCTAGCATAGCAGTAATCCACGCGAGTCGTTCATATTATTTAGTGGAATTGTTTTTTTCACACAATATATGGAATACAAGATGCAACGTTTACAACTGTTCAACTTTAATTTTGTTTATGGCATTACCTAGGGACAACTCTTTGGCCCTTTTAATGTTTCAGTACGACAAATACAAAAGCTCTCACGTAAAAGGAGATTCCCGTGATTGAGAGGGAGACAACATATTTGAATTACAGTTGGAATACTCGTCATACATATATGACATGAAAATTCACCATTACACCAGCGAAAACAAAACCTACAGTTGGAATACTCGTCATACATATATGACATGAAAATTCACTATTACACCAGCGAAAACAAAACCAATACTTAATGGGTTCTATATTATTCGCATTTCCACTTTGTATACTGCCTGAATGGATTTAGCATATATAGGTCATAGGTTATAACGTGCCGTTGGTGTTTGTCTACTGGTTCTTCCGGGTGGCCATATTGTGGAGTCTTATAACGTAACGTCGGTGGTTGTCCACTAGTCTTTCCGTGGCGCCTATATTGTAGCGACTGAATTTATTTAAGGTGAGTCTGTTTCTAAACTGCATGCAAATTCACAGTGTATCTGTAGCACACAGAAAAGCTGCCTATTCCTGACCAGACACAATATTTAAACTATATTTTCTGTCTCTGTGTAAAGATTATCTAAACGAATTTGGACAATATGTAACAGATAGGGAATGTTTCTATGGCGTGTATGATAATCATTGATATCGCATCCATGCACAGTCATTCGTAAAGTTAATATAACTGAACACAACAACACAATACTCAGTCTTTATGAAAAGAAATTGTTAGCTCTTAGCTGTGAGCAATAATGACAGAGACCCACGGTATAAATAGTAAGTACTTCCCTTAGCAACCAGCTTCACAAAGCATTGCGAAAGCGAGCATTGTTTACCTTACTACTACAAAGACAGTGGCGGATCCAGCAAATTGTTTTGGGAGGGGCCAAGCTTCGCTTAAGATATACGGAGCGAAAATCGCAGAGAAGCTATGCGTAATCCAGATGATATGAATCGTCATGCGTTTGGGGGGGGGGGCATGCCCCTCCTGCCCCCCTCTGGATCCGCCACTGTACAATGAGCTGTACAGTTGAGTTAGTTGGAGCGTTGCCAAAAGACTCATTCACAATCTGACTTGTACATTGTTATGGAAAGCATTTACTGTCTAAAAGTTAAGCATGACATCACTTTCAAAAGCATCCATCTAACATTCAAAATTGTCCAGGGTTATTGCCCTTTGTGCTTACGCACTTGAGATAGGGTCCGTTGAGAGAAGAGAATGGCCAACAAAGGCGTGAA